GAAAAGAGCTCCCGGATTTTGTGGTGAGGGCCTCCGATTCAATGCGGAGGTTGAGTCGGAGGCCCTGAAGAAGTGGTGCTGCCCTAGATCAAGAGGGTGGCCGCTGGAATAACTTTTGGCTGGCTACAGGACTCTACACCATGCCACATAAACAGGAGAACCCAGTCATGGCTGTCAGACAAATTATGCAACCCCTTACATCGAGCCACCTAACTCCCCAGACTGCAACCCCCTTGATTATTATGTGTGGGGCACAGTTGAGCGAGAGAACAACAGAAATCCTTGTAACACCAAAGACGCACTGAAGGCAAGGGTTAAGACAGCATTCACCAACTTAAACAAGGAGACCGTCCAGAATAGATACAGGAGATCCTCAAGTCGTCTAGAGGCCGTGGTTTAAGCCAATGGCGATTTTATTGAATAAATTTACTTTTTACACACCGCTTATGCAATTTCCTAGACATCCTATTGAAACCGCTCATCAAACACGTTCGGATCTTCATGCGAGATGATCTAGATTTTCTCAATCATCTACCAAGGGAGGTAAACCATAATACTTACACGACTACGGAATAGAGGCCAATAAATACTGTTTAGAAACATCCCCCTCATAAGCTAATAAATCGTATCAATGGAAATTTTATCTTTGAAAGCCTTGAATTAATCTTAAAAACAACTATATTCTGTTCAATAAAAAAATAAAAAAAAAACATGCCAAAAGAAAAATCAGGAACAGTCATGGGAACAAAGTATGGGTCAATATATGCCAACCTAGTTATGCGATAACATGACTTAAAAATCTATGAGAATGATTTCAGCTACGACGTTAAAGAAAACTGGAAAATATATCTAGATGACTGTTTCATTCTGTGGAATGAAAATCTTGATAAATTAAGGATATTCCCAGCATCCATTAATAATATAAATCCTAACATCCAATTTACTATGGCGTGCATGAAATAAATCCTCCTTTTTTAGACATATTAATAACAAAATTAACCTACTCGATGAATATCATGATACTTGTTTTGAATAATTATACACTGTATAAGATTTTTTTTTTTTTATTAAGCAAATACTTTCAACTGCACATTCACTCATCCTCAGGCGTGGAAATTATTTTGTTTTTGGTCAAATCCGGTAGCATCCGAGACGAAAATATTAAATGCGAATATTAAATGCGAATCGAAATATATATATATATTTTTAAATTACTCAGTTTATTGAACAATTTAGTTCATGCCACATTGACTGATAAACTCCTACAACAAAAAAATTCTCAAATTGCCATATTAGTAAAAAAAAAAACGCACTCTCTTAAATTTTCAAAAAATTCAACTTTACCGTTGCGACTGCACTCCCCAAAAGTTTGTCCGTTAACAATAACACATTTAAAAAAAAAAAAAAAGACCTAAAAAACTTGAAAATTTTGTTTGGGAAAGGATTTCGCCATTTTATATCATTAACTTTACTAATCAACTTTTTGTATGAATGATTCATAGCAATATGAATTGAACTGCACCACATATTTAATATATATATATATATACAATCGACTCTCCCGTGGAGATTCGACGTATGAGGGTCAAGCAGATCAGTTTCCAGGAAACCGACAGCCCGACACCGGCACATGAGATTTGATTATAGTGGTGAAGGCCTCGTGCAGGACCATCCACACTTTTTGAAGGGACGAATACAGAGACCTGGTGCACCGAATGCCACAATGTTCCCAAATGACCCTCCGCAGGTTTTGAATTCAGAGTTGTCCTTCTCCTAGACCAGTTGCCATCCAAGGCTATAGAACCCAGTCTGTCCTGTTATTTTACCCATAGCTGGAGGGAGAGGATTCATACCTTTCCAAAGGGTATTAGCACGTAAGTTAATGTAATGGATTCGACTGGAATTCGAATTCGGCTCTGCGATTCTTTAATCCGAGCCACTATCCATTATTACTCCACCATGCCTCCTCTATATATATATATATATATATATATATATATATATATATATATAATATATTCGATATCTCCATTATATTAACTTGTGCTATTATTGGGAATCGCATGAGCCTCTTCCTCTTCCAGTTGGGTTGTTATTTATATATATATCCTCAAAATAACAAATACACCAACGAAGATATTTCAAAATTTTGGCGAGCGAATCTGTATAAATGCCTCGATCTGACCAGGCTTTAAAAAAATGGCTTTAAAGAGATATACCGTTAAATTGGCATCCCATGAAATTTTGAAGACCAAATTTTGAAAATTTTAAATCGGTCACTTCATACATGAAATATAAAGTGTTTATCCTGACGTCTTACACCAAATTACATATTCGATTTCTGAATCAAATTAGCTTCAAATCAGGTCACAAAGGTCGCAAACACACACTCATAGGTATTTGGCCGCACTTAAGTGAAAATAACTTCGTAACAAACAGATTGGAACAAAAGTTCGCAATAAGAAATAAAAGAAGCAAAAAAAAAAAAATAGGAAAATAATATTAAGCAAACAATATATGAAAGTCAAAATTAGGACAAAGCGAGAGTATTAAGGCAAACAGTTGACAAACGGGATACAGTGAAGTTGTTATAACATTCTGAAAATATGGTTCATGAGACAGAATATTGTTAGTTTGTATTGGTTAGGAAGAAATCTAAAACATCACTACCAAAGCAGTTGTTACAAGAACATAAAGCAATTATTCTTGAATTCAAATATGTCCTGAACTAAATAACACGTAAAGGGATCATCAGTGATAATATCCATCATTGAACCATCTGTCTTCTGTCCATCTATCTATCTAAATCTATCTATCTATCCTCAAACTACTCTTTTTTTTCCTTTTTTTATTTATCTATCTAATTCTATTCGGACATTTGTTCTCAGTTATCTATCTTTGTCCATGTATATATATATATGTCATATAACACAATATCAATTCAATTAAATAAAAATAAATCATGGATAGTAGATTGTCTGTCGTTTTTAACCCAGATATATATATATATATATATATATATATATATATATATATATATATATATATATATATATATATATATATATATAACTATTCACTAACTATCTATCGCAGTCTGTTCTTTATCCATCAACATATCTATCTGTCTCTCACAGTCTTTCTTATCTATCTATCTATCTATCTATCTATCTATCTATCTATCTATCTATCTCAGTCTATTATTTATTTATCGATCTATCTAAAATGTCTATTCTTTATCTATTTATATATGTATTTTGTATTTCAAATTATTCTTTATCTATCTATCTATCTATCTATCTATCTATCGCAGTCTCTTTCCTTATCTATCAACCTATTTATCTGTCTATCTATCGCAGTCTGTTTCTTATCTATCTATCTATCTATCTATCTATCTATCTATCTATCTATCACACGATGTATACATTTTCTTTCTTTTTTCTATCCTGAGGTATTTAAGCAGATATCTACTGGGCGTATAAATATGTAAATATATTCAAATAGACACGCATACAAATAGACACACACACACACACATACGCACACGTGCACGCACGCACGCACATAGGTATGCGCAGGAGCACGTGCGTGTCGTAAAGTTACAAGTCCCACGCATGCGCAGAGGGGTAATCATGTCATCCATCGTCTATAAGCTCTGAACCTCACTTAAACCAATACAACGAAGCCATAACCTCTTAGCTCATTTGACAGATTTATGCCTAGTCAAATAACGCGTAATCCTCTTGAATTAGAGAACAAATCAATATTTGCCGGAGATTTTTTTCTTCGTCATTTTTTTTTTTTTCTTTTTTTTACGGCGTTCACGGTTCGCGGTCTTGCATTGAACGAGGAGCAAAAATATGGCCGTTCATCATCTTATCTTCACAATTATCATCATCGTTTTTTATTTATTTATTTATTTATTTATTGTTCTTTGCTTCTTCTTTTTTCTTGTCTTCGAGACGGTAAAAGTGCACACAGAGGAACCGTGTTAAAAATTCTGCTTCTTTTCTTCTTCTTCTTTCAAAGAAATATTCCTGAATATAGGACATGTTACTTGCAGGAACTGATCCCAATGCCTATTTTCTTGACAGCAGAGATATAATAGGAAGGAACAAACAAAGATCCATACTTGTATTGATTGACTGCTTGGATGATCAATTGACAGAAGCGCATCCAGGGCTATAGATTGACATCGACTGATATTGAAAATAACGAATGAGATAGAGATATTGAATAGAATTAGATAGATAGATAGATAGATAGATAGATAGATATGGACAAAATTATGAAGATAGATAGATAGATAGATAGATAGATAGATAGATAGATACGAACAAAATTATAAAGATAGATAGATAGATAGGATGAAACTGAAACAGATAGATAGATAGATAGATAGATAGATAGATAGATAGATACGAACAAAATTATAAAGATAGATAGATATATAGGATCAAACTGAAACAGATAGATAGAAAGATAGACAGATAGATAGATAGGATCAAACTGAAACAGATAGATAGATAGATAGATAGATAGGTAGATAGATAGATAATGAACAAAATTATACAGATAGATTGATAGATAGATAGATATGAACAAAATTATAAAGATAGATAGATTGATAGATATGAACAAAATTATAAAGATAGATAGATAGGATCAAACTGAGATAGATAGATAGATAGATAGATAGATAGATAGATATGGAATAGAATTAGATATAGATAGATTCTAGCCTGTGTTTTAATTATTAGCAAGCTAATTTTCGCGGCGAATGTCACTAGTACTCTGTACAAAGGTAACTACAATGCCCTCCTCTTGTCGGCCTACGGCATATCTTTGGCCCAGACGATGACATCATACGCTCTCCATTGACTGACTGGCGACTTTAAAACAATGCACATCTACCATTATTTGCTAGGCCTGTCCATTTGGCCATTTGCTGTGTATTTGGACCTGGGACAGACGCGCTTTCATCGCACTTGCTTAGGGAAATGATTCTCAAAAGTGAGTAAAGAAAAAGAAGAAAAAAAACGAAAGAGTGCTTACTATTTTTTAGTTATACACCCCCCCCCAGCAAGGCGATAAAGCCTCTAAGATACAAGGGTTTTCTGAGTGGGAGAGAATAAAAAACGAAAAACTTTATTCAGGAGAGATGAAAATAAAAGAATAAGAATTATAACGATTGACATTGCATTTAATTTTTTGAAGATCAAAATTGGCTGTAAAGCTTGGAATTGGAAAAGTGTTCCACAAGTGAGAAGTGAGCGAGAACAATAGAAGACAGTAAATAACGATTAATAATTGCATTTAAATTTTTCAAGATCAACGTTGGTCCGCAAAGCGAAAATTGTGAGAGAATAAACTCCCAGCTTAGAACTTGCGGCTGAATCTCACCATTTTGATTATAAAATGATGAGACCGAAGCGCCAATCTAGTACTGCGTTTAAATTCATAAATTCTAGGTACCACAGAGCAAAGGTGATCAGAAGATTAATCGATTGATGCGACTTTACATCTTATTAACTCTTTGGACGTTCATTAAAGCTAGAAATCATTTTTAGAATATTCACTTTATTCGGATTATTGTCCTCATCTTTGTGAACATATTTATTACAACGTTTCGGCCGTTGTACGCTCCGACCTTCTTCAGGTGCTTGGAATGTCGTACTGAACCCTTTATTTCGTTTGCTGTTCTAGTTCCACGTGCCATGTTTGATGGATATCAGTTGTCATTACCTCCTGTTAATTCCCCTCTCCAAGTTCTCCACTGCCTTAACCGGGTATTGAACTCACAATCTTTGGGTCCTGTCACTGGAACTAACTAACGCCTCTATCCACATGGCACAGTGGATAAAGGCGTTAGGTAGTTCCCGTGACAGGACACAAAGATTGGGAGTTCCACGTGCCATGTTTAATGGATGTCAGTTGTCGTTCAGGGGCATGAAAATAACATTGTTTTTTTTTTGGGGGGGTGAGCTTTTTCCGTTGAAAACACATTGATTTGGAAATTATTGTAAA